AGGTGTCAAACTTTGCCTCCCACACGGGAGCGGCTTCCCCGGCTCTCCCTGAAGTGGCTATGTCCCCTGCAGAGCCCTATGATGCTCCCCAAGCACACCTTGGGCCTGTGACTTCTCCACCAGGACTTCCGTAACTTACCCCTGGGAGGCCCCACTTGTTCCATCCATTCCCTAAAGAGCTCCCGTCAGCCGGGCCACCTTGTACACCGAAGCCGCCATGGGGGGAAGCCCTTGGCATCCCCCAAACAGGAAGTTGCCCTTGCTTTTTCTGGGCTTGGCTTTCATGTCTTTATTTGCCCTGCACTTCCCCTGTGGACATCAGCCTAAAGAAAATATCCCAAGAAAGACAAACACTGTGTGATATCACTTATGTGTGGAATCGAAAAAATACAGCAAACTGGTGAATATAACAAAGCAGCAGCAGACCCGCAGATAGAGAGAATGAACCAGTGGTTACCAGCTCGGGAGCGGGGCAGCAATGTAGGGTGGGGGAATGGGAGGTGCAAACTCTCAGATGTAAGACAGGCTCCAGGATGTATTGTACAACATGGGGAATATAGCCAGTATTTTGCAATACCTGTATCGTTCCAATTTTAGTATATGTGCCACTAAAGCGAGCACTGCAATAACTGTAAATGGAAGGTAACCTTTACAAACTGAATAAAAAGTTTTAAAAAGAAGATATTCAGAGAATGTCTTACCAATTCAGTCTGCCTTGAAGACGCAGGCAATGAGAAAGAGGGACAAGCTGATGGGGTTCTCTGAGCCCACCTTTGAAACCCTTTTCCCCTCTAAGCAGAAAAGCAAGTCCCTCCCTTTATTTTTTTTTAAGTCCCTCCCTTTAAATAAATCTTTTTCTTCTTTTATGTACATTAAAAAGTGTTTATTTACATTAAAAAAGACACATTTTAATGCCACACTGTCTTCCCTCTCAGGAAATTTATTCTCATATTTGACTTCAATGCTTTCTTGATACAATTTCCATCCTCATGGAGAGGAAAAGCTGACTAGCATTACCTGTCTTAAAAGTCTGTATTTTTTGTGGCCACCACTAAGTCTCTTGGACACAACACCTCCTCCAAACACAATATACTCAGTTCGTTTTCCTTTTCTGTGTATATTGGATTTTCCAGTTCTTTGTGTCATTAGGACTGAACTCTTGTAAATTATTAGTATTAGACACTGAAGAGTGCCAAAGAGGAGCCAGCAAATATGGTGCTTCTGGAAGGGCCGAGAATTTCTTCCAGAGGGAAAGAGAAAATAAATATGTGGAATATATTTACACACAGAAACAACACATAGCTGTATACAAATCATGGTAAAGGAGTATGAGAGACGACTGTGCCCAAAGTTGGTTAGTTATTGTGAGAAGAATGAACAGTGTTTGAAGGCAGTGAGGACCCACCTAGAGTGGAGAAGGTAGAAATCCTCTTTATTGCTCATCAGCTGTGTTCATTGAACATATCCGTCTCCAGCCCTTAGCACAACACCTAGCTCATTTTAGGCTCTCAGTAGTGTTTGTTGACTTGATCACCGACTGACTGTAGTTCTCCAGTAAGGGTAAACCAGTGTGATTCCACTTGTAAATTTGTAATTGATTCTTACATCCTATATACTCTCAGTTGTGGGAGTTTAAGGATTTTAGAGAAGAACTCTAAGTAGCAAAACATTAGCGATATGCTACCCTGCTAGGGTTCATTTCAGTCACCTTCCTTCTAACATTTTCTCCAGCTGACCTTCATGTGTTCAAACCAGCAGAAAAGGCAGGAGCTCACCTTGAAATGATTTCCCAGCCTACTTGTTCAGTTCACTCTGTCTGTTTTTCTCAGCACTGCTGACACACTGCTTTCATTTTATTTAAGGGACTTCATTACGAAGCAGTTGCCTCTGAAAAAGATAATTCCTCCCATTCAACTACACTCAAACATCCTCTGTCCCATACTAGATGACCATATTCTGCTGCCCTAGTGATCCCACAGAAAGACTGCATGCTAGGTTTGCTTCTCTGCACATATGTTTGGGTCTCAACTTGCAAGTGTTTATATATATTTAAAAATATCTAAATGTAATCTTGTATTCTGGATTAGGCCTTTGAGGAGAAAAAGGACATTAGTGAAACAATTGGTTTCACTGAATAAGGTCTGATTTACATAATTGTTCATTTCTTCATTTTATCAATGAACCATGGTTCACGGTTGTGTAAGATTAGGGGAAGACAGATAATGGGTGTAAGGGCACAAACATTTCACAAAGGGAGGCTGTATTGGGAAATCAAGTACATGTGAACATCCTGGTTCTTTTCAAAGCAGTTTTTCAAGCATGAGAAAAATTACAGACTACCGAAGTGTACTTCAGATACTTCTAGGCTTTGTAAGAGACAAAATAAAACAACCCTTGTTCATACCAAGCCTCCTCCTATTCGGTTTCCTCCGAGATCCATTCCCCCCCGCCACCGCCCCGTTCCCAAAGCTTCTGTGCTGATGTCAGAAGTGCCCCTGGCTCTCCCACATCTCTCAGCCCCACACCCCCAAGGGCCACACTTGCTCTCCCCTGCACAAGCACTCGCTGTCCAGCGCAGATAAATCTCAGTGCTTTATCCCGTCCCCCAGCAGCCTGCCCCGTGCTGGCCAGTGACATCACCATCCTGACATCCCAGCTAAATATCTTAGAATCACCTGCAGTTCCTTCCTCCTTTTTCACCCATTCCACGTGTGGCCAGTCCTCTCAAACAGCCTGTTGTGTGCACTCACCCCTTTCCTTTCGCCTTGCGGTTACCCTGGGCCACAGGTGCCTGGTCAGGACTGTCCCTGCCTGCAGTCTTGCCACCCTCCCCACTGCCTTCAGGAAGAGGGCATGACCTAGCACATCAGTGTCACTTTCCTTCTTTTAAAAAGTAACAATTGGTCTATATTGCTGCTGGCCTAAACATGTGATAAGCACCTACCCAGAAGAGCAATGTATTATACAGCTAAATAGACAGTCAGTTCACACCTGCCTCTCTCCTTCCATCCTTATCTCAGGAAAGTAGAGGAAGAACAGGCCTTTGGAGTCAGAAAGTCCTGGCCTTGAAGCCCAGCTCTATGACACTGGGCAAAATAGCCTTTGCCTCTGAGCCTCAGTTTCCGCTTATGTCAAATGGAGGTGGTGCCTACCACATGGGGCTGCTGTGAGAACCAAAATGAGATGTTTATCGAGGGCCACACCCGAAGCAGGCTGTTCTCATTGTTAACCCTGTAGGGGCCCTGAGGAACAGGCCTGGTGACGATCTCTGTACCATATGTGTGTGAACTGGGGCCTCGCAGTAGGAAAGCTTCATCCCACGTGGAGGGACTGAGCACCTCCCTTGCACTCTTCCCAGCTGGGCGGGGACTGCGTGCCGCCTCCTGTCACATGTGCAGCCCCAAACCATCCGAGTTGAAGGGATCCCAGCCTCAGGAAGTGAATCCTATTCTTCAGAGACAAGGACTCACTGGTCTGTTATCACTCTGTGGATGAAACAGGGATTTTCAGCAGAATTCTTCAGAATCTATCATTCTTCCCAGGAGAGAGCCAAACTATTAATACAAAATGCCTATCGGGGGCCTCCCTGCCGGGGACTTTTTCTCGTTGGTTCAATGCCCTTTCTTTCTTCTGTGGCCTAGTACAGTAGCTGGCACATATCTGTGCTCAATCAGAATCGAATGGATAGAAAGAAGAGTGGAAGGATGAAGGATTTAATCTCTAGGATTTGTCCAGTAATGCGCACTTAATTGAAAGACTGAATAATGAATTCCCCAATGAGCTAGGTATTGGACCAGTGGTTTCTAAACCTTGGCTGCTCTAATCACCGGGAGAGTTTTTGTTTTAAGACTGATTTCTGGGTTCTACTGATTCTTATGCCCTATTATTGTCTAAAAGCTCCCAAGTAATTCTAATAGACAGCCAAGGTGGGCACCTGCCATGCTGGACCAGTCTAAAAGTATGTACCCCATGCAAAGCTCTTACATCCAGTCACCATGTTGTAATTAACAGTTTGTGATCTTTCCCTCACTTGACTATATGCTCCTTGAGCTCTGATACTGGGACTGTTAACTGTCTTCCAGTGCCTGGCACAGTGCTTGGCATATAGTAGATCATCATAAACGTTCGTTAAGTTGATGGTTTCTTTCATTTGGGTGGTTCTGTGCAATTTTCTTGTATCCTAAGGCAAAGACAGAAAATGCTAGCACTGTGAGTTTTGTTTTAAATGAGTGTGTGTGTATGTGTATGTCGTGTTTTCTAGCCATCTATGCTTTGGTATCTATATACTTGTCCCTAATTCATTTTTTTTTTTTTCATGTTCACTCACTGTCCCTTTTCCAGATGCCATGAACTGACAGCATCCAAAGATATTGAACTTTGTCAGGGAGCCTCAACTTGAAATATTCTGTCCAGTTATTTCCATCCATACCTGGTTTCCAAAGCTCATCCCTATACATGTGAGAGTATAGTTCATTAATGGGAGGTCTGGCACCACCATCCCCACTAATGAAAGCCACAGGAGCCTCTCGAAAAAGACACACAGGTTGCTACTCTAGTTGATTTTCTCAACTCCACAGTCTGTTCATTTAGACATAGAATAATAGAGCTGGAAAGATATTTAATATATGAGTTCAGTCATCTTCATTAAACAATGAAGACTCAAGCTACGTGGGTTTTAGGACTTGCCTGAGATGACGCACCTTTCAGGACCACAGCTGGTGCAGGAAACCTGGCGCTCTGGTCCTCAGGTCTGGACCACTGCATTGTACTCCTAGCATCTTGGAGTACATCAGAAATCAAAGATCACACTTTTACTTCTTCCTTGGTATCTGTGTTAGGAAGAAAACTACCTGGAAAAAGGTATTATTATATGTTTCTCAGAGGATGTGGGAAGGAGGAATTATTAGGTGGAAGGGGATTCTTGAATGAGAACTTAGAAACTTCTCAGAAAAAGTGTTTTGTGGCAGTACCACAATTTGTGTTTCTGTCCTTGTTTTCAGAATTTTCCCCAGAGAATACCTCCTTCAACAGATCCACCTGTATTCCCTCGCAGATCTGCAGCAGGTAAGCACTTCATGGGGCCATTTCATGTCTGTTTCCTCCCTGGGGACATGTTTTTTGTTGACTGTGTTCTTGGTTACTGAATTCTCCCATCATTGGTGTAGTTATATTGACAAGCCCAGATAATTATTTTTTATTCAGAATGAGAAAACTTAATGTAAAAAGATATTACAGGACAATAAGAAATGCAGACTAAGATTTAGAGAAACTGGAGCTCTCGTACACTTGCTGGTAGGAAGGGCAAGTGGTGCAGCCACTTAGGAAAATAGCTGGGCAGTCCCTTGAAAAGTTAAGTGTAGTTACCCTGTGATCCAGCCATTCCACTCCTAGGCACATACCCTAGAGAACTGAAAACACATGTCCACATAAAAACTTGTACGGGAGTGTTCAAACATCATTATTCATGATAGCTAAAAAGTGGCAACAACTTGAGTGCTCATTAGCTAATGAATGGATTAAAAAAATGTATATCCACTTAAAGCAATAGTATTTGGACATAAAAAGGAATGAAGGGTACTTTCATTGAGAACATCATGCTGAAAGAAGTCAGACAGAAAAGAATACATATTTATGGTCCTTATTTTATGTAGACTTTTCTTAGAATGTCCCAAAGAGGCCAGTCCTTAGAGGCAAAGAAGGTGAGTCATTGCCAGTGCCCAGGACAAGCCGTGGGGTGAGGAGTGGATGCTGATGGTGTGGGGCTTACTTTGGGGATGATGAAAACGTCTGGAATTAGCTGTGATGGTTGCACAACTTTGTAACTGTACTAAAAGCTAGTGAATTGTATACTTCAAAAGAGTGAATTTTATGGTAGGTGAATTGAATCAGTAAAAAAAAAAATTGTACAAGGGAAAAAGACATCAAGGACAATGAATATATTAAACTCTGACTTATGTTCAAGCCAAACAGTTGGATGGTGTTACTTTAAAAAAAAAACAAAACAGAACAGAGCATGTACGAGTGAAAATCATCTTTTTATACTTTTATTAGTGTACGTATATCCTTTCAATGATTGACTAAGTTAACAGCCAGGAAGAAAACCAACCCAAAGTTCTGAATATCTTAGGCTTTGCTTAATCATTTAAATCAACAGCTCATTCTCTAACAAATTTTGAGATGCTGCATGAAAGCGTTGCTTCCTTTTCCATATTTTCTGGATTCTTCAAGAGTCAATTGCATAATAATAATCAGTTCAGTTCAGTCGTTCAGTCAAGTCTGACTCTTTGCAACCCCATGGACTGCAGCACGCCAGGACTCTCTGTCCATTACCAACTCCCGGAGTTTACCCAAACTCATGTCCATTGAGTTGGTGCCGCCATCCAACCATCACATCCTCTGTCATCCCCTTCTCCTCCCATCTTCAATCTTTCCCAGCATGAGGGTCTTTTCAGATGAGTCAGCTTTTTGCATCACGTGGCCAAAGTATTGGAGTTTCAGCTTCAACATCAGTCCTTCCAATGAACACTCAGGGCTGATCTCCTTTAGGATGGACTGGTTGGATCTCCTTGCAGTCCAAGGGATTCTCAAAGTCTTCTCCAACACCACAGTTCAAAAGCATCAATTCTTCAGTGCTCAGCTTTCTTTATAGTCCAACTCTCACATCCATAC